TCTTAAAAAAAAAAAAATTWAAAAAAAAATAAATAAATAAATCCAGGCCAGGCTCCAGCCTATGTCTTCCACTTATCCTGACCAGTAAGGACATAGCCCTGGCAACTAAGATCTCAATGCTAGGAAGAAAAGAGGGACTGATGGGAGGGAAAGAGACAATGAGGGGACAAAAATAGGGGGGAGAGTATCCCTGGTTTTAGGGAGAAGTGGTCCAGCAAGAGATGGTGAGAAGGAAGGGGATAGGTATGAGGTATCACCACAGACCAAGAATTAGGATGACACTGGAAACATTCAGGTATCAACAGCATCTGGAAAACATCTAGCAGAGGAGGGAATGAGGAAAAAATAATTGTGAAGCACTCCCCACAATTCTGCCCTGGGAGTGTGTGCTGGGAGTGGAGACCATGACCTTTTCCAGGTCCATGTTCCACCCTTAAGCCCAAACTGGGAACTGCAATGGCTGCTGGGCAGGCAATGACCCAGGTAACTGGGACAAGGCTTCACGGGACACTGATGTTGTGAGCCTGCTCTACCTCACCCACCAGTGAGTCAGCTAAGCAAAGCCAAGCCTTGAAACTTAAGCTTTTCTCTTCTGCCCCCAGCGTATCTGGGATGCAGCTTGAGCAGAGAGCTAGAGATGTTAGGGGCCTCAACATGGGGAAAGTAGGGGGTCAGAGAAAGGGAGAGTGGCTTGTCTGAGCTGTCATCCAGGCTCCACCCAAGATTGGTGTATCTCTGACACCAGAGCCTGTCTTTCCTCCCCCAATCCAACTCGATCTTCATTCATGACCTCATTACTCCCCTCAGGCCTCTTCTCAACCCCACTATCCCATTCTTCTCAAATGTCTTCAAACCATCCCCCATTATGCACAGCTGATTCACTATCTCCCAGACCTGATCTCTGAGTAGCCCCCAACACTGCTCTCAGAGCCTGTTCCTACTCTCAGCCTCCTAGACTGCATTTACATCCATCCCTAGCCTATCATCCTTCCTCCAAGGGTGCTCTGCCTTGAGCAGAGGTGAGATTTGATCTGTATTAACTTTCATTACCATAAGTGACTTCTATAGCTATTCCTTGTTTATAAAGAATTTAGTCATCCAGAGAGCTAAGGAAACAGCCAAAATAAATCCTAGGAAGACATAAGCTTATCTCCATCCTCCTTCCCYCTGCCCTTATCTGTCTGCACACTCATTAAAAGAGTTCTAGGTGATAGGACCTACACTTTTGAGTTAAAAACCAGGAATCTTGGGCTGGGGTTGTAGCTCAGCGGTACAGCGCTTGCCTAGCACTTGTGAGGCCCTGGGTTCAATCCTCAGCACCACATAAAAATAAATAAATAAATAAAGATACTATGTCCAACTACAACTGAAAAATAAATAATAGAGGAAAAAAAACAGGAATCTCCAGGCCAACCCAGAGTTTAAGCTCATCTGACCCTCATACATACACAGGTGGACATTATTACATAYGCATATGCCCATAAACCTGCAAATATATCCATATATAATTAATTAAAGTGCACATATATTCATAAACACAACTGGAATGTGTGCTCCATGATGTAGGGACAATTTCTCCCCATGGTGTAGCCCTGACCCTACAACAGTGCTAGTACATAAATGTTTGTAGAAAGACTGACACATATGGAACATATACTTGTAAATAAATGTATATACAAATACATATAATAATATATACAAGCTGGCAGTGATGGTGCATGCCTGTTAACCCCAGCTACTTGGGAAGTTCAGGCAGGAGAATCGCAAGTTTGAAGCTAGCCTCAGTGATTTAGCAAGACCCCTATCTCAAAATAAAAATTTAAAAAGTATTAGGACTGGGTGCAGTGGTGCACATCTATAATCCCAGTGACCTGGCGGCTGAGACAGAAGGATTGCAAGTTCAAAGACAGCCTCAGCAATGGTGAAGTGCTAAGCAACTCCCTAACACCCTATCTTTAAATAAAATACAAAATGGGGCTGGGGATGTGGCTCAGTGGTTTGAGTTTCCCTGAGTTCAATCTGCAGTATAAAAATAAACAAATAAATAAATAATTTTAGGATTGGGGATATAGATCAGTTGGTACAGTGCTTGCCTTGAATGCACAAGGCCCTGAGTTCAATCCCCAGCACCACAAAAAAAAGGGGGGGGGGGTTGGGTATGTAGCTCACTGGAAGAGCACCCCTGGGTTCCATCTAGTATTGCCAAAAAAAATCATTAATATATACAATGTTTATGTTCACACATCATAAATACACCTATGTGATATCTGCATACTTATATATGCATTTAGATAATCCACATACATAACATATTGTGATATACCTACATAATTTATACAGTTTACATAATGTACATATAAAAACACATATGCAAACAACCACTATAAACATAATAATTTATAGTTTATACAGGTAAATGTAGACATCACATATATACTACATATGTGTCCACACTAAATGAAGACATATAGTAGCACCTTTTTACACAGATGCTTCCAAACAAATAAAAATTGCCTCAAGGACCCTGACCCGGGCCTGAAGGACACTACCAGAAATATCCACCAGATGGCACTTTTTCCCTACATCCTATACTCCCAAGTGTTGCCAGAGATGTCGCTTTTTTCCTCCAAGATACAAAATATGCAGAGTCAGATATAACTTAAGCTCCCCCTCCACCACCAGCAGCCTTATAAGTGCGACCTCAGTCCCAAAAATCTGCAATTCTGGCCTCTCCAAAGTCAGGCTCCTCCTCTTGGGACTCCAGACTTCCTTCGGAGATGTCTACTCCTCATTAGGGCTCTAGTTCTGCCCAATCCTCAATTTGACTCTGTCACCAGCAAGCCAAGGATGGARCTAAGCCCAAACACCTTCATTTCAGACCAAGACAGCTGAGGATTCTTAGAGTCTGCAGTAGGAAGCAGCCAGAGCAGTGGCCCCATTCCCGGATGGTCCAAGGACAGAACCAAAGTCAGGGTCATTTGCAAACATGTGTCATTCTCATACTTGTACATATAGCCCCTTTTGGCTTACTCCTCACAGCCTGCCTTAGATGAAGGATAGTTGGACACCTAGCCCAAAAAAGCCAAAAGCAGGAAGGCCAGAGACAGGGCTAGTTGCTATTAACCCTGCCTGCTCCTTTCCGGTCTTGATTCCCATCTCTGGGTGGATGCTGAAAGGAAGATGTTAGCTCTATCTGAAGCAAACTACTTAAAATATGTATGTGGGGCAAGTACAGCCCTTCCCGCCTCCAGTCCTGGGCTACTCCAGGAGAGTGTACTCTCCTGGAACCTCAACATCTAGGTGTGAGCAACCTAGGAAGGAAAATGCAAGAAGGCTTGGAAACCCATGGGGAGGCGAAGCCTGGAGTTCCTGCAGTCGCTCAGCTTCCCCCGTCCTCCTCCCCTCTCCTCCCCTGGGAGCCCCGGGAAATTATTTATTAAAACACCACCCGCTCTCTCATTTATTTGCGGTGAATAATCCTCGGCATCTCAGCGCGTTTATTAAACCTTTACCGTCCCTGCGCCCGCATTACTTTAATAATAAATCGCGTGTCACTTTCCAGCGACGTTATTAAAGGCCATCCGCTGCAGCAGAGGCGGGGTGCGGGGAAGATGGAGGCGGTGCACAGCAGGGGTTCCTCCCATTCAAGGCTGCCAGGCACCAGCCAGCAGGGCAGCAGAGGGGGAAACCGAGGCTACAAGGAGGCTACTCCTGAAACCTACAAACTCTGCAAACGCTATTGAGGATACAGAAGCCCCAGGTCCCGCGTGACCATATTGGGTCAGGTGGGGCTCTCGGCTAGGAGTCTCAGCTCTGCAGGTGGACGCTGTCCGACCCCTGGGCCTTCAGGGGGCGCCTTGAGTCCAGCTGGAAGAAGAACAGCCTAGAAGGGGATTCCCTGGCTGGCTCAGGGACCCAGACACACGTCCCCTCTTACAGTGAGGAGCCGACCTTCCTCTGGTCCCCACATAGAATGAGCGCTTTCCCCCCACCCCTCACAACCGGACTCCTGCTTTGTGGTTGCCTCGGAATTCGCCCCAAGTACCCAGCCCCTCCCCTATCCCCGTGTGGTCCTGAGCGACTCCAGGAGCTGCCGGGCTCCAGCAAAGATTCAGAAATAAAAACCATTTTCTAACTTGGGGGCCCACAACAAGGCGGAGGCAGAAGAAAGAGTAGAGGGTAGACGTGGAGAGGTAGCCAAGCCCTGGGGCTGAGGTTCTGGATCAAGCCTCTTCCTAGAGACAAGGCTCCCTGCTCCCTGCGATGGGCCCCAGAGACGCTGAGCCAAAAGTGGTCCCTCCCGTTGTGGCGCCAGCTAGGGCGTAGCCGGAASCTTAGAGGCCCTCCCCATCCACACACACAAAGCATCTTGTCTTTACTGAGTTAAGCTTCCATTCCCTACTTCAATCATTCAATAACTTCCCCAGTGTCCCTGGGGTATGTGAGGAGAATGTGAGCAAGAGATTTGGGAAGTCAGAGTGCAGTTCTGTGACAGATTTGAAGTCAGATAGGTTGTAATTGGGGCAGTTAGAAATAGGCTTACCATAGCTCTGAGTTCAGCAGTAAAATGGATAGATTCCTGTGGAAGCTGGTGGCCCAACTTCTCCTCTCCTCTATCTAGTTTATGTTTTCATATTGGGGTCCCACCCACATAGACCTGGTTCCCCACTCTGCCAGAGAGGAAACCAGAGTAAGATGAACAGAAGAACAAGTAACCTATTTCTACACCAGCCCCAATGAAGGGATATCCTCCCACTAACCAGAAGCTTCAGGTTCCTTCCCTAGAGGACAGGGTAGGCCAGAGCTCAAGCTTTCTCTCATCTGGCAGGCATGTGCTTAGAGAGCAGGATACACAGCTCTGGAAGCCAGAGTCCCATTAGCATGAAAGGCCTCCCAGGGGTATCTGGTCTTCAAGTGCACATCTGCAAAAACTGTCTGTAGCTATGTACTTTGGTTTATAAATCTTTATTGTTGCCTATTGTGCCTAATCCTGTGCTAGGTAGGCTTTGTCCACAACAGAATGATACAAGATTTGGAGCTGGCCCTACCCCTTTTACTGCACTGAACTAAACCATGTTCAGTGTGCTCTCTTGTACAACAGATGGTGAACAACAAAAAAGAACTACAGTTAATATCTGGGTGAGAGGGAAAACTTCTGGAATGTGAGGGTTTTGTTTTGTTTTGGTACCAGGGATTGAACCCAGGGGTACTTAACCACTGAGTCAGAGCCTTGCTAAGTTGCTAAGGCTATCTTTGAACCTGTGATCCTTCTGCTCAGATTCCCTATTGGCTGGGATTATACGTATGCACCACCATGTCTGGATGGAATATGAGTTTTGAGGAAGAATAAATTGAGGCTAGGCAAAGGCTGGGAACACGGAAAACAACTGCAGGAACCAGGGTCTGTGGGAAAAGGCAGTTAGGAGAAACTGGCTAAGCAGGGATGGAGGGAAGTCTGGTGGGAAGAGGATTCTGGTATCTGCAGCTATTTCATGTATGCTCTCTGCTTGCTCGCCCCTTTCAGGTCTCTTCCAGGTCTTCTCAAGCAGGAATGAATACTATACCCACTCATCCACCCCCATAGGCCAGAGCTCTGGACCTAGTAGTAATCCTCATTCTCTTCACTCTCAGCCACCTCTGGAGCCAGGTTCAGTGATCGCAGCTGGGGAATGCCTGTAGAGTTCAGCTGATCTGCAAACACACATGTGGACAAAGGAGAGAGAACAGGGGAGAGGCTGCTGATGCACAAAGATCAGTCTATGGGAAGACCATGCTTGTGTGCACCCACATAAACATACACATGTGGATTGTTACACACATGTGGATTGTTATACACATTTGAGGGTCCTAATCCAACACCATTCAACCATCAGAGCTCAGCCTCCCACAGCCACCCGCCCCCCCATACCTGGTGTGAGCACTGTCAGGGTAGCAGGAGCCTCAACCTCACCCAGGGCATTTCGGGCAATGCAGCGGTAGGTACCCTCATCACTGGGACGCACAGCTTGGATCTGCAGCCAGCTGGTCACCTCAAATCTCTGCGGTCCACCCCTAAACTAGAGCCAGAGGCAAAGTCAGCAAGGTCATTCTAGAGAGGTCTAGGATGCTTGAGGGAAACCTCTGCTCCCTACCCCTACCTGTACAGAGATGTGGGGGTCATCGCCTGGCAGCTGGATGTCCAAGCCGTCCTTCCTCCACTCAATGGAGGCCATGGGGTAGGCAAACACCTCACAGCCAAAGATCACATCCTGCCCCGTCACATTCCAAATGTCAAATGGCTGCAACACGATCTGAGGCTCTAGGGGGTGAAGGTGGGAGGCCTGAGAACAGGATGGTGTATCTTGCCCAGCAAGGAAACAATATACCAATTCTTGTGGACATGTATTTTAAGGAACACAATATATGCTGAACCAAATACACGTCCACAAATAAAACATGGCATGTATACACAGATACATACAAATGTAGATACAGTACATATGAGGGTGCATATGCAGAATAAAGATGGACATGCACACATATACACACAGAGCACTGTACAAATTGCACAAACAAGTACACAGACCTACATCTTAGCTTTCAGGCACTCAGTCCAGGACTACTCCCTGGTCCTCATTGCACTCTGCTGGGCCCCTTTCCTGCTGTGCTTGTAACCAATACCACCCTATCCCCTTCCCTCTCTTGTAACCAGTCCCTTCTCAAAGGCCTGGAGAGCAACCCTCCCTCCATCCCAGCCTTGGCTGGGAAGGGGGACTAAAAGGGGAAGAGGACCAGCGGGGAACCTGGGCTAATATGGGAGAACCTGAAACCAAGCAGCCTCCTGGAGGCTGAGGAAATTGTTGGGACCCCCCCCCACCACTATTGTGTTTGTTTTGCCAGCAGCCCAGCCAAGCCAGAACCAGTAGTGGCTCAGGAAGCCAAAGTTGCTGAAGCCGCCAAAGAAAACTAAAAGCTTGAACGGCCCCAGTCCCCAGGGTGACTAGAGGGAAAGCTGAGAAATGATTCCCCACCCCCCTTCATTAATCCCTATTCGCAGGAGAAAGGAAAGAGGCAGGGAGTTTGGTTAACAGAGTGCTTTAAGATTCTTCCCAAAGAAATCCCKGTACTGCGTACCCACCCCCTCAAAAAACAAAACAACAACAACAAATAAGAACAAAGAAACACTGATCGCATCTCTGTTTAGCTGTCTAAGCTCCAGAGGCCTAGGAAAAGTCTGGGGGTCTTTTTAATTTTGAACCAGTTATYGACTACATGCTTCCTCCCTCCCTGCCGGTTGGGTCTGAGGATTTCAGGCAGCTCAGTATGCAAAGCTGCCAACAAAGCTCAGGACCCGCACCTTAAGGCAACTGCCTGGAGCCCGGTTGCCAGAGCAGGGTCTAACACTAGACTGGAGGCCTCCTGGGCCTCATCTTTTTCTCCCCACCGGCCACAGACCAATGCCGTCGGGGCTCCGGAAGCAGTGCCTGGAGGAATTCCCAATCCCGGGGATAGGGTCCTGGGCCGTGCGTACCGGCTTCGCAGGGCCCTGGATGCGCCACAGTGAGGTTAGTGTCGGGCCGAGCGCGGGCTGCCTCCTGCAGGCGGCAGATCTGGGCGTAGGTACGGCCGTCGGAACCGCAGAGCGGGCGTTGTGAGCGACAGGCACAGAGCGGCTCCGGCACCTCTCCGTGGCTCAGGTCGCCGCCTGTGTCCAGCCGGCACTCAAGCTGTTCGCCGCAGCGCCCATAGAAATGAGCACTGGGGTCCAGGTCGCAGAGCTGGCCCTCGAGGTTGGCGCATTCCCAACAGCAACCGCACGCGTCGTGCACCCTGCCCGCCAGGCAGCCCCGAGGCATGACGCATTCTTCTAGCCGGCAGGGAGCGCAGCCCTCGCCCTCCGCTAGCAACCGCAGCCAGCCGCGCCGCAGGTAATCCGGGCCTGGGGACGGCCTTGCGCTGATCGGTGGTGGCATCCACCCCACCAGCAGTAGCAGTAGAAGGGGCAGCGCCAAGGCAACTGCAGCATGCTTAGCTGGAAGCCCTGTGAGCACTCGGGGCATCAGAGCGTTGGTGGCACCCTGCTAGAGAGGGAAGCTAGGTCAAGAAGTTGGAAACAATGCCTATGCGTAAAGACTAGCCTCACTGTTCCTTATACCAAAGCTTGATCCTAGCAATATCCTCTTCCCTGCTACCTTGGAGTTCCCTAACAGATGTCTAATAATCCCTAGCGGTTATCCAGTTATGCCGGTTGCAATTGATCGGGTTGCTTTTGGGGCCTGGGGAATCAGGAAAGGAGAGATGATGGGAGATAAAAGGGCTCACATGCGCGCACACACCCACAAACACCACCAGCACCACTTCCATATAACACCCAACTTTGCAGCTCCTTGTTCCAGAAATGGATGAGAACGGCCAGCTCCAGATGTAAGAAGCTATTAAAGGGGGTTGGGAAGGGGAGGGATGCCCCTCGCGCGTGGCCAGGGGCTAAGGGACTCACCTATTGTCCCGGACTAGGCCCTCAGGAGCAGCTTGGTGAATCCAGTCGGAAAGAGCAGGAGGTGGAAACAGTAGAGGTGCACAGTCCGCTGGGCCCACCTGCCACCTCTGCTCCCGCCTGAAGCCAGAAGATTTCCGAGAGCCCAAGGGCTTGGATTCGAAAAGCAGCTCCTCCACCCCTTTTCCCCGCCCCTCGACGTCGCGTACCCTCCTTCCCCCTGATTCTGAAGCTGCCAATTTTATGCAGCCGCACGGGACCGTCCCGGGCCATTTCCTTCCAGCCTGGTCCAAAGCCACAAAGAGAGAGCAGAAGAGCCGTAACTAGACACCGAAGCTGGGAAAGAAGGAAGAGTGTGAGAGCTGGAGACTGGGAGTGGGGGTAGAAGGATGGATGGGAAGTTCAAAGTTTGGCTTAACGTCTTGGTCCTGTCCCATCTGAGTTTACAGTCCCAGGGGGTGGTTAGAGCAGCTGCTCTGGTGCCAAGGCATTTCACGTCGATGTCTGGGTGCACCTAGAAGGCAGGGTAAGCCAACATCGTCTCCCCGCAGCCTTGGGCTGGCTTTCCCGGAGGTGGTCGTAGCGTAGCCTTGCCCACCCGGTTTCTGCACTCAGGCACGGACCGCTCTTGGCGTTTACTTTTGACTGCCTACAACTGGCCTCCTCCCTACCCACTTCCGGCAGGTGCTTCAGTCCAGGGATGAGAGGGGTGATTAGAGGTCGGAGCTAACTAGCTGCTGCGGGGAGAGGCGGGCTAGGCGCCTCCCCAGCGGGTGAAGATCCCAGTCCGGATTACGGGTTATCGTTGCGAGACTGGGAGGGCCACAGGCACCGAGTCTCGCGGCCGCCACCAGCGCCACCGTGGCACTTTGGGCTGGGGGCGGGGAAGAGAGCACCCTTGGAAACCCGCCCACCCCACGCAGGTCAGCCAGACCCCGCCCCTGCCTACACCGAGAGGCTTTTTGAAGCCTCGCGGCAGTAAAGTTTATAGGGGCGGAAATCGCGGTTTGCTGCCAGGGAAGGGGCGGCATCTAGTCAGGATCAGCCCCGCAGGCCAGGCCGCCACAGCCTTTGCCTCGCTGCAGCGGGGGTCCACCCAGCGGATCTGCCGCGCAGGCGCTGTGCGCCCCGGAGTGAGCCTTGGAGGAGACCCAAGTTCTCTGCCTCCGATCATCTGAACTCGACCACGCCTTTCTCTTAGGGGGCTCCCAAGCCGTGCAAACGGCACTCCCGACCAGAGATATTCTGACGAGGTGTAATACCGAGAAGTACACCGCCAACAGGGTCTCAAACTCTTTTAGAGGGACGAAAAGCGAACTTCTCGCGAGGTTTAGGAACTGTCGCGAGAATCAGGACGGTAAATTTAGCAATTCCAAACAGGAAAAGCCCGCGGGTTTTAAACTGAAAGAGAATGGGCGGCGCCATCTATCACTGATAATTGTAGGTTATTCCTTGTACTTGGCCTGGAAGGCAATTGAAGTATTGATATGGGGGCAGAAGCGAACAGCGAACTGCAAAGAATCGCTAGAAAAGGCGACAGAAGGGGTCCTGCGTAGCGGACTGTAGCCGCATAAGGGGAGGTCCCGACTTATGCGCGACCAAACACCTTAGGGGCGGAGATAGTTGCCCCAGATACAGAGCAGAAGCACTCTAGGATCTCTGAATGAATTGCTATAGGGTTGGGGCTAATGTCAAAACAACAAATTTCATGAATCCAATAACTCTTATCCCATATTATCGTAGCAGTGTTTGCTCCAGTCTAAGTCTCTAGTAATAGGGATCGTGCCTAACACACCACTGCATCATGAGAAACTAGCAGCATGATAAATTCTCAGCAAATATTTGTGGATTAAGTGTGAAAGACTTCCTGAATGTTAAAATCAAGTTTAGCCCTAATATCCAGAGTATATAAAGAACTCAAAAAATTAGACAATAAGATAACAAATAACCCAATCAACAAATGGGCCAAGGACCTGAACAGACACTTCTCAGAGGAGGACATACAATCAATCAACAAGTACATGGAAAAATGCTCACCATCTCTAGCA